CATTTAATGTTGAATACCCCAAACCCTGGAAATGACCAGGTACGATCCCCGTGATGTATTGTAAATACGTTACACTTTTATTTTCTTTTAATTTCTTATTTATACTCTAAATAGCAACATCCGTCGAAGAAGGTAAGATTTTTGACATGCGCCCAAATGTGGATATACAATGCAAAGGAAGTTGATGTTTTATAAAGCTAAAACTGTATGTTGCTCATATAGACTAGGTTAACCTTTGTGTTCAATCTCACACAGGCGTTTAATATAGTTTTTCTTAAAAACTTGTTTGGTGTGAAAAAAAATCTGATATTTGAAAATTTACCCAATGTCATCTGCAAGAGCACGGCAACTGATCTATTTTCCAAATCGTAATATCCATATTTGCGGTTGTTGGGTTACTATCTGATGATTAATCCAGAATGATCGGCGATCCCGTAAGTAAAGCTTTCACTTAATATCGAGCCTTGTTTAAAAGTCTCCGGATAATATGATTTAGATTCATGCGTAAAACACTGTTTTAAAGGTATTTATATGTAGCCAGACTGATCCTCTTTGTGATTATGTTGCAATCTGGATTGTATCTCACAATATTTTTATTGATTGAAGTATTTAAAGCAAGCATTGTATTAGATATAGAAAAAATAATTGCTAACAATGTCTGCATGCACCCCCCCCCCCCCCATTTCTTTCTCAGTGCCTTGCCTCCTTGGTACAAGAATTTGATTGGCACAAAAATATTCATCATTTTTTAAAAATGAACCAGTTTTGTATTAAAACTATATGATTTTCTTTTGAAAGGTGAAAAGAGGACGATACAGTGAATATATTGTTCTTTATTATTATGAAATAGTTGCATAACTTTTCACATTGTGGCTTTCAAATCATGCATTTGTGCCATGATCGGTTACGGGTATTTCTCTCGAGTTTCCCTTTAAATATATTTATCGTATTTAGTCGGGTTGCTCATGCAATAAAACTGCACAATGAGTGTTGAAAAAATGTAACAAAGAACCCGACATAATATAGAATAAAAATAAGTCCATGTCAATGGAAAGTTACTACAATTAAGCGTTGCTTTCGAAATCATGTGAATAGAATAATATATTATAACCACTTTATACATACAGTGCAATGCTTATTCGTAGCCTAACCACTGCAACAACTATTTCATAAAAGAAAATAATTCTACATGAAAAGAATATAATAAGCTTTATCGTTAATAAATAATACCGTATTTCGAAATTCGACTTGCAAAATTCTAATTTGGAAACCCGACGTCATTATCCATGATCTAAAAAAAACCTACTATCCAAGGGATGATCTAAGATTTCCTTTACGATGTTTTGACAATCAAGAAATTGAAATATATGTTTTTCTCTTTTTAAAGAATGGGTTATTTGAGAAAATAATAATGTAAGAAAAATTGATTCATTGATTGTATACTGTTTAACGTCCCTCTCCAGAATATTTCACTGATATGGAGACGTCATCATTGCCGGTGAAGGACTGCAAATTTAGGCCTATGCTCGGCACTCAGGGCCATTAAGCAGGGAGGGATCTTTATCCTGTCCCACCTACTGTGACACGGGGCCTCGGTTTATACGCTCTTATCCGAAGGACCGCCCCATTTAGTCGCCTTTTACGACAAGCAAGGGGGTACTGAGGACCTATTCTAACCCGGATCCCCATGGGGCTAATGTAGGAAAGAATGTGAATAATGTAAGAAAGAATGTGAAACGTAGAAAACGAAATAAAAATGAATTTTTGGATTTGTTTAGAAAAATATGCATAAGTTCTTTATTTTGCTTGTCAAAGCTGAACACGAAAAGAAAAATAAACAGGTAAAAAGAATTTGTTAGAGCTCTCGTTATATCTGTAGACCATTATAAATAGAGGGAATCACGTTGTTAAGAGTAAAGAATTACCATCGGTGTATACGAACGTATGCTATTCATAACTCAGAAGCGACAAAAATATCTATACTTCTTCCAATGCAGAAAAATCAGAGACTAAAGACACCTATAACAATTGCACAGTTCAGTGGAGTATACAAGCAAACACAAAATATTTGCGCTAATGAAGTAAAGTGAACAAAGATTATGCAAAATACTACACGTACATAAGAATATTAAAATAATACACGTATATAATAATATCATATGTTGTCGATAGATTACGTCAATACCCCACTGGAAAGGTAATAAAGTACTCAGATATACATAGAGCAGTAGCCAGTTTTACATTAAAAATAAACTTGAAATAACTGCTTAATAATAAGAACAGAGATTTTGCGATGATTATCATATGCATGTAAAAAGATGGGTTTTTTTTAAATCACGGGAAGAGCAGATTATCATATGCATGTCAAAATGTTTTTTAACACGCGAAAAGCAGATTTAAATCGTCTCTGAGGAATACTGTATAACTCAAGTGCCAGAATATAGCATTACATTACCCAACATACCCGACACAGTGTATACGATTCAACTTAAAAAAAAACATTTTCCATAGGATAACTTTAACTTAAAAGATGCAATACTATTCCTTGTTTTTGTGATTATTTGTCATTTTATTTTAAATAGCAACACCCATCGAACAAGGTCGGTCGCTTGATACCCTTGGAAAAGTGTTTAAACCATGTATATTGTAAATGAATTTTACATAAGGAATAACTGTCTAATTTTTTTTTTATTTCATGATGTGACTAATCGAGTGGCTTGCGTGATGTTTATGCATAAAATTATCACGCAATGTATTCAAATGATCATCGTCATGAAATAATTAAAAAATGTGACAGTTATTCCTTATATTTACATGCTCTTGATTCTGCCAATCCACATGTTAGAAGCCCTGGTTCTGTCTGTATTTGTCCCGCTTGCACGTGATTTTTTTAATGTAAAAAAAAAAAAAAATTGGCAAGATACATTGAGTGTGTGTCCTTGCAATAAATCGACTTTACAGGGACCTTCTATTACTTTTTCAAAGAATCTGCATACAAACACAAGACAGTATCACTTGTCTAGATAATATACGGACATTATATAAATGAAAAAATGAAACAGACATTGCATCCAAGGTAAAGGCCTTTTATATAACTACAAATAACATTTTATTTGAAAACAAAAATCTTTTTTTATTGTATAAATGATTTTCATTCCCTTACCGGAAGTTCATTTTAAACCCTCTTAATTGAAAAGACAACTTTTAAAACATCCCTCGTTCCGATCATTTAATTAAAACGACTAGCCCGCAATGTACAACATACGCAGCCCGATTTCTACCATGCATTAGGCTTATCAATGTCTGAGCGAAATAAATGTTCTTGGGCATTTTTAAAAGTCTGTATTTTTCAGATACCGAGGTCGAATATTTTCTAACTTAGTTTCGTAGTTTAGTAACTCTTAGACTTCAAGGAAATGTCATTAATGCTTTTGAAACACATGAGCCCGAAAAGTCGTTATGTAGTGTATATTTGCATTTGTAGCTTTCCTTCTTCTTTATTTTGAGAATTTCAAGCAAAAGCAATGAAAATGTGTGCCTTCAGTCATTTTAAGGAAATACAGGAATCACATCCGGAAAAGAAAGAATGATACCGTATAAGCAGAAATTTTAGCGAGGATTTAATTTTGGCATTATAAGAGAGAGTTTCATAATCGCTAATATTGAATATCGCTAAACAAATTTTGAGCTTTATTTGCAATAGCATTTTAAAAATTAAAACCCATCTTTAAGGACAAATCGCTAAATTTGCGTCTCGCTAAAATTTCCACTTATATGGTATTATTCCGGAATTTTAGTACAATACTGATATAATAACAGGTACATAACCTTAAAAACCCCGAAAAGTGTCAATAATTATCCAAAAAATGCTTATTTTAAAATAAAAACTCTAAAATCAACTTTCGGTAATGAAATGAAAATCAATCAACCGTTAAATAATTGATTTGGGAAAGTAAAAGATGTTTCATACGCCACCATTCCACCAAAAATATAGCCCCTGCTAGTTTTCATACGCGGTTCACTATTACTATTAAGTTGTAGAATTATGATGAGGAAAGAAGTCTTTAGAATCTCTTCCACTTATATTATTATATTTGACACATTATCAAAATTAATGTACTTTGAATATTTCATCTAGTCATAAACCAGAGAAGAATCCTACCTTAAGAAATAAAGTCTGCGTTATCGTAAATGCTGCAGGATAACCTCCACGGGTTCGAAATTCTTTTTGAAAAATAAAGGCTAAGTCGTAATCCGAGGATTTATATTCCAAACAACATTTTGAGATCGAAGGTTATCTTGCATCATTCACGACAAAAAGGACGTTAATTTTAATCCTCTATAGGGAAACGAATAAGGTAATCATGTCTCAAGTACGCTCTTCATTTAACACCGGGGGGTTTTTGTTTTGTTTTGTTTTGTTTTGTTTTTTTTTTTTTTTTTTTTGCTTACCTATGTATAAAATGCAGACAATTTAAACGTTCGTTGCATTTAAAATAGGCTTTTTAATACAAATTTATTCGTAAGCACTATTGATTAATTTTAATTAACAAAATCATGTTTTTATTTTATTTCTTTAAATTCGACTAAAATCACGTTATTTAAATTGCGTAGGGAGGACCGACATTCATTAGCAAAGTTATGCAATTTACAGTGTTCCGACTGGGAAAGACGACACATCGATGTTGTCTAATCAAGTATTTTGTCTTGGCCTTTAAATACACAATCAGACATATTGAGGATGTTGTATTCATTACAAATTGCTATTTCTCTTCATATTTTAGGTTGATATATCCCAGTGTCTTTGTCATATCTTTATAATTGGATAATGTACTGAGGAATGAGATGATTTCAGCTTTTGCATCATTAACTTTACTTATTTTTGTTTAAGGTAACATTACGCTATCACTCTCTGAATTCGATCAAATCTTAAATCGAGACAAGCTTGTCACACATATTCTGATGTTTGATTAATAGGCCTTTGTTTTTGTTCTAGATTTGAAAACAGAATATCCATCAACTTCAGCAAAACATAGGTTTCATGCAAGTAACAGGTCAACATGGAATACGCTCTCCACCCAGGCACCTGATCTCACCCCTGGAATAACTAGGAGTCCATGTTAAAGCCCCGTTCACAGGTTTATATATTTGAATTGTTTGTAGTTTTTATGAGATCGATCACTGTTTTTGTCTTCATCCAATTAGATTACTAAATAATCAAAAAATCCCTCTTATTTTAAAAGTTTTTCTTTTGCTTCTAGTACTTTAAGACCTAGATGTGATATGGGAGCTTTCACACTTTCACTTTTAGCAGTTAGCTTGGCTGTTTTCTTTCTTCTTTGCAGGTAAATATTGCTGCTTTATAACATTTAAACAAGAGAGCTGATGGGTCATACTCTATGAGTCACTGTGGCTTTGCTGTACCACATAAAAATATTTTCTTTTTCCTTTATATTCATATGTAACACTTGGATCACCGTTCTACAGAATCCGATTCCCTAACATATCAATTTCCTCATGATCCTTACGTCGCCGGTTTGAATCTCACTATGGGAAGTGGAGTCCGGTCGTTCGGATGAGACCGTATATAAACAGAGGTCCTGTGTCGCAGTAAGTGCTGGCACGAAAAAGATCCCTCTCTTCTCAGTGGCCCTGAGTGCAGAAAATAGGACCAATTTTGCAGCTCTCCTTCGGCAGGAGGTGGCTTCTCCATATGAGTGAAAAATTCTCTAGAAGGACGTTAAACAATATACAATCAATCATTCAATTTTCTCAAATATTAAGTATTAATTTTTTTTAAAACAGAACATAATGTAGGAATATCAATATGATTTGATTTACTTTCTGGAAATGACCACTTTTAGTAAAGTATTAATTGTTAATCATTGTCTTCATTTTTTTCCAGTTCAAAAGACTTGCCGAGTGTTCGATGTAAACATCTTCTTAATTTGGGTGTGAAAAAATGTGCAGAGGATGAAAAAGCTTCAGGAACTGTTAATGATACGTCCATTCCATCCATTTCTCCGAAGCAACTTAATAACACTGGAAAAAGAGAAAACAACAGCGCTCCTCTAAGCTCAATGAAAGAAAATTTACCAAATTTCTCAATTATTGGAATAGGCGTCGTGATCGTTGGTTTCGCTGCATTTGGAATATTCATTTTCATACTACACAAAAGGAATATACTTCCTAGAAATTTTTATCGTCCTAGCAATGATCTCAATAACCCTTCAGAAAGATATCCTCTGAATCAGGAAAATGAAATACAGGATAATCAATCATAGCTGAACAGACTCGAGGCACATGACAATGTGATCCAAAGCCACGCATAATTTTCATTGACTGTAGATGTTTTTTAATGTAACAGACATTACAGGTTAAATTTTACCCCGAAATTCTGGAAATCCAGTCTAGTGCTCTACCATGGGCAAGATAGTTAAAAGGGTAAACCCAGAAGCCGAACTGGTTGGAAGTTTCATCTATTCAGAAATATATGCCCTGGCTCTAAAACATATGAGGAGGTCTATATTGGTATTCAATCCACATGCCACAAAATACATGAACAGTAATGTAACACGGTCAGATTTGTTTAAAATTGAATGTAGGACTTTATATGAATCCGTTATACAAATACATGTAGCTAGAGTGCTCTGCCGACTGAGCTAATGTGTTTATCCAAAGCCCAAGCTAGGAGTAAGCTTGCCATTCCAAACTACAACATTTGTTTCCAGTGAAATCTCAGAGAAAAATGAGAGAAAATAATATGTCAGCGTGGGAATTTTTTTTGGAAGCAATAAATTGTGTTATACTAACAAGTGATCTGGTGCAATACTTTAACAATTTGCTCAATCAAAAGTTCCAGTCATTAGAATTTACATATATCTTCGCATAAAACAAGATCGTCGAATCCAATCAAAGAAATTTCAGGAAGGGCAGTTAAAATCAATTTAGTACAGAGAGACAATACAATATAGGCACTAGTGCTATCGTGTAAATGTTCAGCTCTCTTGAGTTGAAAGGTTGAAAGTAAAAGTCCATATCAGATGTTGTAACTTTGTGTTTAAGCTGCTTAGTGGCATAGTAGAACATATAATGTATGAATGGATGCATTTTTAGGTAGTTTTCACCTTTTTTTCATTAGAATGTAGCAATCTAATGTACATGTAGATATTACAGTATAAATCATATATCATTTAGAATAACATTGATCTCATGAAATATCGAATTGATTGTTTGATTGATTGATTGTATACTGTTTAACGTCCCTCTCCAGAATATTTCACTGATATGGAGACGTCACCATTGCCGATGAAGGACTGCAAATTTAGGCCCATGCTCGGCAATTATGGCCCTTGAGCAGGGAAGGATCTTTATCGTGTCACACCTGCTGCGACACGGGGCCTCGGTTTATACGATCTCATCCGAAGGACCGTCCCATTTAGTCGCCTTTTACGACAAGCAAGGGGATACTGAGGACATATTCTTACCCGGATCCCCACGGGGCAATATCGAATTGAAAGTATACGGAAAGAATAAAACAGGAAATTTAAAAAGAAAAGTTAAGAATTAAATGAAATCCCTCTTTTTTCATTTTAATATATTGCAAATGCGTCTATCGTAAAATAATTTCGTATTTATTTACTATGGGATGCAACTCGTACGAGTACATGCTGAAATTGAAAACTATTAAAGACATGGGAATGCTTTTCATATTTCAAGGCATGCAAATTTACATTTAAGGATAAAGTATTCACTAGTTTTATATAAACAGTTTCAAGTTGTTTTATTTTAATTTGTACTGTGTGTCCAAATCTTGTTGTTTATCTTGTTGGGTTCAGGTTAGTACATTGAGTCATTGAGGTCTTTTCACTTGTATATTTTCTTGTAAACAATGGTAAGATAATACAAATGAAAGCATTTTTTAATACTGTGCACAAATAACTCTTGACTTCTACAAAATTGATTGGTTTTATCCTTTTTGAAGGGTGTTCATTCACATCTAACAACAAATGGTTCTAAATATCGCAGTATGAAAACAATTTTAAAAGAACTTTAAGGAGGCTGGGGGGTTAACAAATTAACAAAAAAATACGCACCAGATTTAACTTATTTTTTTAGATACGGTATCTAAAGCTGTCAATTATCATTTGGCAAAGAAAAAAATCATACATTTTTGTTTTAAAATTTGATGATTTTTTTAAATATTTTTATATGGAGCTCTTCTTTTAAAGGGGATCAAAATAGTCTGAAAATGGCTGCCACACCCCAGCCTCGTTGAACTCTAGTTTTATTTTTTAATGTCGATCAATTCTTGCAATATCTTTTCCAACAGTTAGGTTAATTGATCAATAAGCTGATATACTTGTATACTCGGACTTTATACCTATCAATTGTTATAGAGGCAAAGTGTTATGTCTCAAAAACTGTCAATCTCATATAATAACAGTATGTACACATTTCTATTTAAACAATGTATTTAGAAAATACACAAGAAGACAGGTGTCCTTTTGCAATGTTTCACATGTAATCTAAGAATCATACTTATTATAAATCTTATTCTATGGACTATTCTTTGACAAAACCCTAAATTTAAGTGTGGAGAAACATACATATTCTGTTGCTTTGTGTACAGTCTCTGAGTTTCGAATTGTACTCACAATATTTTTTTAAAAATATATATTACTAATTAAGACAAAAGTCCCTTGGGCCTTATACAGTGAAGATCACATCATTATGTAACAACTTTCAAACAATTGCATTTGGTTCGTGTTTTAAACCAAGGCCGTGGAATTCACATTTGTGATAGAGGCACAATGATAATCATAAATATACACTTAGAATACTTACTTTGATTACTTTATACCCATAGATTGAGCAGGAAAAAAACCCAATTTTCATGATATAAATAATAATTTGAAATTCACAATTTGTGTTCCACTTCATCAATATATAGACGTGATATACCCATATTGGTTGAAATTTGTTCAACCCTTTTTAACGCAGGTATATTAAGGAAGCATATAAGTAATTTCTCGGGAAATTTAGACTTTTTGAAGAAAATTTAGTTTAATAAATTACCAAAACCACTGATAAACGTAAACTGTTATTTACTATTGCATACAGATAAAAGCGTGTCTAAGGCAAAGACGTACATCACCGCCACGGCATCACGTGACTTCTATTAATAGCAAAATTTTCCTTAATAAAAAGGCTTACAGAACAACAATACCCCGTAGTTTGATAATTTCTTTGAGTATGTAATATAGCTGAAAAACATCTATTTTATCTAAAAAGTGCTGCTAGAATCCCACTATCTTGTCCGTAAAATATTTATTCCACACATTCGCACGAATCTTTACCCTTTGTTTTGAATTTTATACATATTAATCGAGATTTTTCGTACAATCATGCCTAACTCGGGATTCTAGCAGCACTTTCCAAGTTTGTTTTAACGCAAACTTTCAATATTTACAAATCGTATGTTTTGAAATATCCAGCTTATTGTTGTTCTGTTGCATTTTTTGGTCAAGAATGACAGACGATAGGCCAACCGGGATACGTAATAAAGCTGACTGTCTTCGAAAGAGAATATAATCGATGAAAATAAATTAGCATTCCTGTTAAATTAATTGAACTCCATATGAATTTAACACAATATTTCCGATATTTCCTTTTAAACTGCATTTTACGTATCTTTGAACATGCCGTCTTAGCCAAATTCTCTTTACACGACATAATCAATTTCCAAGTTACTTGAGTTACACATATGACGTCATCGATGGTAGATTTCAATCATAATGACTGCTACAGCATGACAAGATAAACACATTTTATTTTTGTTAATGTTTACACGTTTCTAATCATTTTCTAGAGTTAAATTACATAGATAAATACCAATATTACGCAAACTTTATTTCTAAAATTGACGTCATCTTGCCTACTATGACGTCATAATGCAGCACTGATTTAACCAAGGTAGAAAATTTTGTATGCTTCCTTATTCCCCCTGCGAAGAAGAAGCTAAAAATGTACGCGTACGACGGACGTAACACGACTCACGACGATGGACGAAATGAGATAGCAATAGGTCATCTGAGTGTCTCAGAAATACACATATATAAACAAAAAATATTTCTATAATGTGAAATCACACCACAATTAAATACATGTAGTATATAATTTCTGTGATTTATGCATTGCAAAAAGATAAGATTGCAAGTTGCAAGATGCAAGGAGAGAACCATACAAAAAATGAACATATATTATTTACCCCCAATGCTTTTATGATATATTCCATTAAAAAGAATTATGCAACAAAATATAGATTATCTATGTTCTGAGATTAGTAAAACCAAAATAGCTGACGCTTACTTGCAATACACTTCTATGTCTTCCAATTTAGTCATGCCTTTGAAAGTATTTTTCACCTCTAAAATTTCGCGGGTCCGTGTTATAAGCTCTCTTTACATATCTGTAGTGTTTATAGATCTTTTGAATCGATCAATTTTCGGTATCTTCAATTTTTCCATTTCGGAACTTAAAATACTCAAGGAAAAACTCTCGATGAACGTCTTATAATTTTCCAACAAATTGCACTCTTAAACGAAATTAATCAACAGAAATATCGATTACCTTTGCCACAACTTTGATTTAAGAAGAATGCCTTGCAGAATTATTTTTTTTAATTCGCTGGTGGTAATTGAGTCTCAATCCTTGATATTTACATTACTGCAACGATTAATCAAAGCTTTTTTAAGTGAAAAGAAAAACGTTCAATCCTTTGAAGTAGGGATCACATGATTGGCAACAGTAATTTTTTTTATTCCTAATGTCCAGGAAAAAGGTTATGACCTTGACCTGGCCTTGCCTCTAATATGTAATGGTCAATTATGCATAATTACTTGAATACTGGACAGAACATTCATCCTATTTTTATATTGAATGAATAATAAAAGTTACAAAATCACACGTAATGATTTGATTATAATTCCATAACAATATAGGACCAAATTAAAGATTCGAGTAATTTTGTATTCTACAGATTTTGTTTCTATATATAAACAGACAGTTTGGGATTTATCTCTCTATTTATTAGCTTCTGTTGAAAGCTCAATGATTTCTTTTTTGCAGTATAGATGAAAACAAAGGGATTAAAGTTTAACTCTGCTTAAAATATCTTGCAAAATCCTTTGAAAGCTATTGATAGTAAAGTGCTAATCTTTTTTTTTGCAATTCATAGTGGCATCCAGTTGCATGTTGAAAATCTGAATGTTATATAATAAAATACTTCCTTTGTTTGTATTAATGGCATGAACAAATGCCAGTTACAAACAAAAATATACATCATCCTTAAAAAAATGTTTTTTTTTCTTGCTCATACGTTGGTCTTAATATAAAGAAACAAAAGAAATACTATAGTTCGTATATAAATCTGTGAAAATAATTCACAAAAAATGGACAAAATTACACATCCAAACCGTTCATCGCATTGATAATGGGAGAGTTACCAAGCTGAAATTTTTATACTTCTTAATATCCATATCCAACTGGCTACGAAAACAATATTTCAACAACTTTTTCGATTAATCAATGAAAAAAATATACATCAAACGAAGTAAAACAGAATATATATTACGAATATAAGTAAACTGATTTACTTAGTATACTAAATTGATGTTTAAATTATTCCTCATTGAAATAATATTTGTTCAAAATATACACATCCATCGTTATACATTTAAATAGGATTAAATATAATAGACTGCTTAATATCTGGACGTTCTAATGACTGGTCACACCCGCCGTGTGCTCCTTGTCATGATCGGGAAATAACGGAAAAATCCATCGTCAATCAGTGTATATATAATGGACTAACAATGAGTGTGAAAAACGTAAGTCAGCATTTGACTCAATGATAAATTGTATTTGCTGACAAGATATTTATCATAGAATTTATGAAATGATTACTTTAACGAGACTGCTGATATTCTTGTTTCATCAACTTGCTCGTCAATAATTTATCTCGTTTTAGAAATTGTTCATACGTATAGCATGCTCGTGCGTATCGAATCAACTTAGATATATATACCCCGTATGCAGGTGATGAAGGTATATT